TTTAGTCCTGGTTTAGTCCTGGTTTAGTCCTGGTTTAGTCCTGGTTAGTCCTGGTTTAGTTACCTGGTTTAGACCTGGTTTAGTCCTGGTTAGTCCTGGTTTAGACCTGGTTTAGTCCTGGTTTACCTGTTTAGACCTGGTTTAGTCCTGGTTTAGTCCTGGTTTAGTCCTGGTTTAGACCTGGTTTAGACCTCCTGGTTTAGACCTGGTTTAGTCCTGGTTTAGACCTGGTTTAGTCCTGGTTTAGTCCTGGTTTAGTTGTTAGTTTCTCTGTGATCTTTTCTTCTATTTTGGAGCCGTGCAGCTGTTCCCTCCATCTCTCTCTCTCTCTTTCTCTCTTTCACCTGTCGTTCTCTCGTTCTCTCGTTCTGTCGTTCTCTCGTTCTGTTGTTCTTCTCTCGTTCTCTCGTTCTCTCGTTCTGTTCGTTCTTTCGTTCTCTCGTTCTCTCGTTCTGTCGTTCTCTCGTTCTGTTGTTCTCTCGTTCTCTCGTTCTTTCGTTCTCTCGTTCTTCGGGGTCGAGTTTAAGAACAGAAAAGAAAAACAGAAGAGATGAAAAGAGAAGGAACGAGGGAGTGAGTTTAAACAGAAACAGAAGTGAAGAGGAGGAGGAAGAAGAAGAGGAGGAGGACAAGATAAAAAGAGAAGAGAGAGAGAAGGAACGAGGGAGTGGAAAAACAGAGGTGGAGAGAGAGAACGACGAGAGGCAGAGTGAGTTATAGAGAGAAAGAGAGAGACGGAAATAGAACGAGGGAGGAGGGAGGGAGAGACGGAGGAGTATAAACAGTAGCAGCAGATAGAGAGAAAGAAAGAGAAATGGAAAAACAGAGAGAAAGAAAGAGAGCGAGGGAGTGTAAACAGTGAAGAGGAGGAAGAGAAGGAAGAGGAGGAGGAGTGGAAACTGTAAAAGGTTCATGTTTGTGGAGACGATCAATCAACTGTGAAGAAGAGAGGGAGGAGAAAAGAGGAGAGGAGAGAGGGAGGAAAGAGAGAGAAGAGAGGGGGAGAGGAGGAGAGAGAGATGAGTGAAAAAGAGGAGTGGAGAAACTGTAAAAGACAAACAACTGTGAAGAAGAAAGAGAGGGAAGAGAAAAGGAGAGAGAAAAGGAGAGATGTGAGAAAAGGAAAGAGAGAAGGAGAAAAGGAAAGAAGAAAAGGAGAGGAGAGAGAAAAGGAGAAAAGGAGAAGAGAAAAGGAAAGAGAGGGGAAAAAGAGAGAAAGGAAAGAGGGAAGAAAAGG